AAATTTAGGGGGCATTAATTAAATTAATAAATCTATTGATTGGTCCAAGGTTATATCTGTAACAAATCTAGAATTGCATTGTTTTTATTTTTTTAATTTGCACTTACTTTAATTATGAGAAATGCAAGTTCTTTATATAATTTGGAATTTATTATTCTAATTTTATGTGATTCTCCATGAGTCAACTTAAATCATTTTATGTAAAATTTTTATTGTTTTCTAATTAAATAAGTACAAACATAGAAATGAATTCTATACATTTATAACATGACCTAAATATTATTTTTTTATCTATACTATTCTAAAATATGCAATTTATCCTTATATTTTTCTTCTCATTTTTGTTATTTTGATTCCTATATTTTTAAAAATTCTTTGTTTCATTCCTTAACTGTTAACGATATTAGTAGAGATATTACATGAACTCAGTCAACCGTAACACATTCTGAATCGGTCGTCATTCACGTCAAATGCTACTATCCTATGACTTGGCCTTTTTAATTCTAAAATAATAAATTGGTCTACTTATAAAACTCGTTCAGGTAAAAAAATCTTAAATGTCCATGTTTTATATAACTACTAGAGATTTTTTTTTTTTTTTTTTTTTTTTCTGTGATAGCATGCCAGACAATCTCTCTACAACTATCATTGCCTTTGTTGGCATCAGTTGCTTCTATCTTTTTCCACCGACCCTCAACAGCTTCATACATCAATTCCCATACTTCACATTTTTCCATGCAAACTCAAACAACTTCTCTGGCACCATCTCCTCCAAAATTCATACCTTTTGTACTTATATGAACTAGATTTGAGTTATAACAACTTTTCTAATGAGTTTCTGACAACGGTTTTTTGCACGTAACTCTTTATTTTATGAACATAAAATTTAAATTTTTCATTGGAACAATCTTGCCAGAGACCTTCAAGAAAAATCTAAACGTTCTCTTTTTTGATAATAATAACTTCATGCAGAATTTTTCGACAACCATAAGAGACACATTAATGATTTTTTTTATCTTAGCCAACAATTATATTCATAGGTCAAATCTCGCAGAGCATTGGTGATGCTTCATTGATCTTGACCAAGGTGTTGCTGTTGAACAACTGGTGGATATCTAACATAGATAACAACCAAATCAGAATATATTACGTGGCTAACCTGAGTCCAGGGGTTATT